CAAAACCAAAGACAAAGAAAGAATCCTGCAAACAGCTCGGGAAAAACAAAAGGTCACCTACAAAAGAGAATCTATAAGACTAAACTCTGATTTCTCAGCAGAAACCATGCAGGTAAGAAGGCAATGAGATGTCACAAATAAAATATTGAAAGAAAAAAACTGTCAATCTGAATTATATGTCAAGCAAAACTGTCCCTCAAACACACTGGCAAAATCATGACATTTCCAGATAAACAGAAATTAAGAGATTTTTTTTTAAAAAACAAGACCACTCTTACAAGAGATATTAAAAGGAGTCCTTTGGACAGAGAACCAACAACAGCAGACAACCAACTGAGATTAAGACATATAACATCACCCAGAAATCAACCCACATAAAGAAGTATCAAAAATAAAATAAACCTATAAGAAAATAGGGCACCAGAGACATCAATTTGTAAACAATGACAACTACAAAATAAAAAGGGCAAATAAATGGTGCAGATAAAAAAAACTTCCAAATGGAGAGGAAATAGAGATGATACCAAGACAGAAAGGACTATTTTAAACTTGTTACCAGGCAACCTCAAAAAAAACCAATAAACTTTCCTGCCAAAATAAAAAAGAAGAAAATCATAAAGATTCAGTAAACACTAAAACAACACAAATGAAGAAAATAAGAAAATCCTTAAACAAAATTAATTCAGCACACACAAAAAAAAATGAAACAAATAAACAATCAGCATCACACACACAAAAAAAAACTAGCAAAACAACAGCAGTAAATACATACTTATCAACAATTACACTGAAAGTAAATGGATTAAATCAAGAGACAAAGAATAGCAGCTTGTATAAGAAAAAAAAAAAATGACCCATCAATATGCAGTCTACAAGAGATATGCCTTAGACAAAAGACAAAAATGAGCTAAAATTCAAAACGTGAAAAAAAAAAAAAAACGCATATAGCAAACAAACAGAAGCCAGAGGGGTAATATTAATTTTTTGAAAAATCAATATTAAGGCAAAAATCACTAAAAGAGACAAGGAAGAACATTATATAACAATTAAAGGATCAATCCAACAGGAGGACATAGCCATAATAAATATCTATGAACCCAATGAAAAAGCCCTAAAATACATACATCAAACTTTAACAGAATCTAAAAGAAAAATAGACAACTCCACAATAACAGCAGGGGAGTTTAAGATATGACTTTTGATGTAGGACAGAATAAGTAGAAAGAAACTGAACAAAAATACATAAGATCTAAACAAAACAATTAACCAACCTGACCTCAAAAATGTATACAGAACACTTCACCCAATAATGGCACAATATACATTCTTCTCCAGCAAATATGGAACATTCTCCAGAACAGACCATATGTTAGGCCACAAAGCAAACCTCAATAAATTTAAAAATACTCAAATACTACAAAGCATCTTCTCAGATCACAATGCCACAAAATTAGAAAACAACAACAGGAAGATCAAGGGAAAAAGAATCAAATATATGGAATGAAGAACACCTTACTTAAACACTACCAGGTAACAGAAGAAATTTTAAAATGTCTTGAATTAAATAAAATGAAAACACAACATACCAAAAGCTTTGCTATACAGTAAAAGCAGTGCTCAGAGACAAACTGTAACAACTAGCATATACATTAAAAAAAGAACAAAAATCAACACTTAAACCCAACATCTCCAACAAAGGAAAAGAAAAAGATGTGACTAACACAAATAAGAAATGAGATAGGTGTTGTCACAACAGAGCCAACTGAAAACAAAAGGATACTAACAGAATAATGTGAAAAACCATATTCCAATAAATTTGTAAACTTACAAGAAATGGACAAATTTCTAGAAACACAACACCTACCCAAACTAACACAATCTGAGGGAAAAAAAAAAAAAAAAAATTTGAACAGACCCAATGCAAAAGAAACAACTGAACAGGTTATTTAAAAAAAAAAAGAGAGAGAGAGACTCCCCTCCCTCCCTCCCTCAAAAAAAGTCCTGGCCCAGATACTTTCACTGGTAAATTCTCCCAAATATTCAGAGAAGAGATGACACTAATTCTACTCAAATTATTCCAGAACACAAAAAGGATGGAATACTCCCAAACTCATGCTATGAAGCAAGAATAATCCTGACACCAAAACCAGGCAAAGAAACCACTAAAAAGGAAAATTATAGACCATTATCCCTCACGAACATAGAAGCAATAATTTTCAACAAAATTCTAGCCAATAGAATCTAAGAACATATAAAAAAAATCATACATCATGACCAAGTGGGATTCATACCAGGTATGCAAGGATGGTTCAACACTAAAAAAACAATCAATATTATCCAATACATAAATAAACAAAAAGAAAAGAACCACATGATCATATTAATTGATGCAGAGAAGGTTTCTGAGAAAATTCAAAACCCATTCTTGATAAAAACACTAAGCAAAATAGGAATGGAAGAGAAATTCCTCAATATATTTATGGGTATATACACAAAACCAATGGCCAATATTCTTCTCAATAGAAAGAGATAGAAAACATTTCCCTTGTGAATGGGAACCATACAGGATGCCCTTTATCAGCATTCCTAGCCAAATCCATATTGGAAGTGTAAGCCAGGGCAGTAAGGTAAGAGAGGGAGATAAAAGGCCTCAAATTGGCAAAGAAGACATAAAACTATCCCCATTTGTAGATAATATGATGCTTTACATAGAAAATAAACTACTGGAACTAATAAAAGATTTAACAAAGTGGGAGGGTACATATAATAGCAACATTCAAAAACCAGTCAGATTTCTCCACACTAACAAAGAGAACTCTGAAAAAGAAATCAAGAAAGCAATACATTTACAGTAGCCATCCAAAAGATGAAGTACTTAGGAATAGATCTAGCCAGAGATACAAAAGACCTATACATCTACACCCTACTTTGATGTGTTGCAATTGGGGTCTTAAAAGCTTGTGAGTGGCCATCTAAGGTGGTCTCTCCCCATCCAGAGTACAGAAGAGTGAAGAAAATCAAAGACACAAGGAAACAAGTAGTTCAAAGACAAATGGAGCACATGAACTCCAGCCTCCACAATCCTGAGAAAAGAAGAACTAGATGATGCCTGGCTACCACTGCTGACTGCTCTGAAAAGAGTATCAATTAAGAGGTACTGGATAGAGTGGAGGGAAATGTGGAACTAAATTCAAAATAATAAAAAAAGAACAGGCTTACTAGTCTGAAACCCCCAAGACCTTAAACACCCTTCAAACTAGGAACTGAATTTAAGCCTTGTGATTCCACTGTCAGCAAAATGATAGGCCTATAAGGTGAACAGTAATATCAGGAGGGTAGGTACTCATTAGAACAATCAATAATATGAGATCAGGGACACAGCATTTCCCCAGGGATACAGCTAGCAAGGTGTGAGGGGATAAGAAGGAAGGAGGAAGGGAAGAGGTGGGCACTGGGAGGAAGTGAGAAGAATGCTGTTAGAATATGGGGATTGCAGTAAATGTCACAAAACAGAATGTCTACAGATTATTGAATGGAAAACCAATTTGCTCTGTAAACTTTCATCCAAATCATGAAAAAAAAAAAAAAA